GACAAAACTGGAGTCTAACCCACGCTCCTAACTCCGATCTGGCGGCTGAGCACCTACATATATATATGAGCAGTGAGCTAAAGCCCAGTGAATAACATAATGCGTAAAGAGATTATGAATGAAATGTCCTTACAGTAATGAAATCAGTTCATTAATCAATATTTCAGTCTTTCAGTCAGAACAGTTATTCAGTCATATGTGGTACATCCATTAGCATAGCAGTAAACAGTAGGTCTTAAAGACCGAGCAGTAATGATGGCCATCAATCAGTAAACAGTAGTGGTTCCACGAGGGAACCGACAGAGATTCTGTAACAATAACAGTAACAGTAACAGTAGATGCCAAGGATGCCACAGTACAGTTTAGAATATAGGACATACATTCATTCAGTAAACAATATCAGTTCAGTAAACAGTTCAGTTCAGTATTCAGAAGATAATCATTTGAACATATCTTTACACAATCGTTACTCACAGAGTTTGGGCTACAGTATGCTAGAGCGTGTCTCCCCAGTCGCCAACCCTACACAGTTAACAGATTGAACACACACTAAGCTATACAGCTGGGGAAAAATAATAACTTAATCCCTAATGTCTCGGTGTGTTCTACATCTATATCCTCAACCAGATGCCTTAAACTAGGCCTAAGAATGCCTAGAATGAGATGAGGATGCAAAGATGCACATTTAAAAATATTTTCAGAAAAACAGAGTTCCGCTCGAGCGCAGGTTTCCCCGCTCGAGCGGTAATGCAACAAAGGTACACGCTCGAGCGTAAACTTTCCCGCTCGAGCGTACTGTAAAAGTACTGGATGGGTGAAATCCCCGCTCGACACCCGCTCGAGCTTGAGACATGACTCCGCTCGAGCGCCCAATACTCCGCTCGAGCGGACTGTAAAACAGTGCAGAGAGATGCTGGTTGCTCGGATTCCACGCTCGAGCGTAAATTTCCCCGCTCGAGCGGAAGTGCGAAATCTGGAAAACCCAGATTGCACCTCCAAGCTCAAAACCAAGTTAAATGCATCAAAACCAATCCTCTTGGGGCCATTTTCTGGAAAACATTTATAAACACATAGAATAACATGGTTCAAAGCTCAATTTGAGAAATCAAAGCCCAAGGGTGTTTAATTCAAACCCAATTTCAAACCAATTTCATGAACAATATGAACATGCAAACATGCATGAATTGAAATCATTTTGAAGCTCCAATTTGATGCTCTAAGGAGCCAATTGATCCAAAAACAAGTTGAAAACATGGACCATTACAAAATTATGGACATGCATGCACCATTTTGCCATGAACTCAACTCCAAATTCAACCAAGAACACATGCAAGCATGAATTATGCTCTATATCAACATGTATGAACTAAAACATGACTTAGCTCTACAATTAATCATGAACCATGCAAGAATTAGCTCAAACACAAGAATGAGAAGATGAAATCCTTACCTAAGTCTTGTATTCAAGGTTTGGGAGCTCAAATATGCAATCTATACTTCAATTACCAAGCAATTCTTCAAGAACAAATCTAGTCTCTCTCTCTCTCTCCCTCAAGGTCGGCAAGAACAAGAAGAGGGCTGAGGAAAAAGTTTGTTTCAAGTGTATACAAGGCTCACATGTTATATTGAGATAGTGGCCACTAGGGGTAGTTTGGTAAATAAGGCCAACTTAAGCAATTGATCAATACCTAATCAGTTTTCAGATAATTATACCATAAAATCACATTAATTATGACAATCATAAAACATTAATCAATTCCGGATTCGGCCGCCGATAAGGCCTTCAATTAGCAGTTTAAACACAAAGATACGAACAGATCAAATAAACAATCAACAGATAGAATGCAATTCAAACGTACATACTCAGTCAATTCAGTTCCAGTTTTCAGTCAGTCAGTTCAATATTTTTAATCAGTTCAATTATCAGTCATAATTAATTCAGTTTAACGGTAATCGATGGTTATCGGTAATCAATCAGTCATTAATCGGTAAACAGTATGAGGGTTGTTACACTAACCCCAATGGTTATCTACTGTATTTTATATATATGAAGAACATTGGAATGTCATTGTCATTTGTTGTTTTGTCACAACTATGGGAAGGAGACAATATTACCATTATTATTATTGGTGTGTGTGGGTGAGGATGTTCTATGACACCACGTAAGTTGCATGAACAGTAGCTGAATTTTCTATCCTTTGCCCATTTATGCATTGGAAATCTTCTTCTAGTCCTAATGTTCTTTACAAATTATTAGTTAAGGGAGATGCTAAGGTAGGCTTTTTACATTATTGGCATTGTGTCCTATAATGGTAAGCTTGACGGGGACTAAGCACATTTTCTGGCAACATTTGCAATTTTATTCTGTTATGCAAAGTTCTATGTGAGGAGTGGCTTGCAAATGTGTATGCTATCTCAATATTTTTTCCTTAGTGTTATAGTATTTTTTTCCAATTTTCATAATTGAGCGTTGGTGAGAAGCCCTCATTAAAGTCTGAGATGGTAGTAAACATGTAAAACTCATCCAATGAAATCCTCTCTGCTCCTAGATTTCACACTGTTGCAATAAGGATTGTAGGAGAATTATGTGCCCTGTTCTTTGTACACTTTTTGTCTGGGAGTGCTTGAAAGTCAACCCAGTTTTGTATATTACAGGTACGTGTGGAGGTGCAAGATTTATTTATTCTTTCTTCGGTTTTAATTTTCTTCATGGAGTTGATATTTCAATTTTGCAATTGCAGGTTTATTACTGATTTCTGTCCAGTAACTGAAATGGAACTTTGGACCCTGTGAGATTACTGATAAATGATAGATAAGGTATGTATAGGAAAGAAAATATTATATTGGATGAGGTTGCTTACATTGACATGGTAGTTTTGTAAACTCTATTGAATTATATTATTGTATATATCAAATCCCAGACTTAGCATCATTCTAACAGGAATAGAGTAGTCATTTTTTTTCTTTTTCACATCATCATCTCCCCTCCACTAACACCCCCCTTCTCTCCACAATTTTCTCTGGATTTCTTTAGTACTCAGAGAAATTTCAATTTTCTCTGGTTTGCACCCAAAGAATTTCTCTGGAGAGAATTTCAATTTTCTCTGGTTTGCAACCAGAGAAATTCTCAGATTTTTCCAGAATTTCTCTGGTTCTGGTAAGTTGCCATTGTTATCTCTTCTAACGTTGCTTACATATTACAATGTGGAATTTTTTCAGTTGAATTCAGTTGAACATTGTTCAACAGAGAAACACTTTCGATTGAAAAATTCAATTGGAAAAAAGCGAAGAACAGATTTGGGTAAGTTGTAGAAATTTTTCCAGATATTACAAACTAGAGAAATTCTCAATTGTTATTTTTAATAAACCAAAGAAATTCTCAATTGATATTTCAATAACAAACCAGAGAAATACTCAGATTTTTCCAGAATTTCTCTGGTTCTGGTAAGTTGCCATTGTTATCCCATTCTAATGTTGCTTACATATTACAATGTGGAATTTTTCTAGTTGAATTCAGTTGAACAATGTTGCTTACCTAATGAATCACAATGATTTGGATGTGAATGAGAAGAAAAGTAGAGAAATTCATCCAGATAAATTTGGTCCAGAGAAATTTCTCTGGGCCAGAATTTTTCTGACCAATTTTCTCTGTACTGAAATTTCTCTGAATTGAAATTTCTCTGAACCAATTTTCTCTGGACTGAAATTTCTCTGGATCAAGGTTGAGGGACCTTAGACATTATGAAAATATTATTGAGGGACCTTAGACATTATGAAAATATTTAGTATCCTTTATGCTATAAAATCATAATACGACATTATGAAAATATTTAGTATCCTTTATGCTATAAAATCATAATACCAGGAACCTTAAAAAAAAAAACCCCTAGTTTTTAACCCTATTCTCAAAATGACCAAAAACTGTTAAAAGCATATAAATGTCTTCCTTAATGTTTTACAAAAATAGATTTTAGTTCCAAGATTTGGACTCCATGGCTTTTTACGGATTTTCCGAGGGTAGGGCTCAATTTGAAAATAATTATAAAAAGTGCTTTGACAAGTGTCCAAATCAAAAACACCAGAGGGATCTTCTAGTCTCAAACCGCACTTTTTCTTATTGAAAAAAAATGAGGAATTATATCAGTAATTCCTATATTTTGTCTTTTATAATATTTTAATTCTTACATTTTTAATTAATTTAATTTTTATCTCTTTTTTAGATAGTCTCAATTTTGATTCTTAATTTTAAATATTGTGTCAATTTAGTCTAATTGATAATATCATTAGTATTCTTAATAGAAAATAATAATTAGTGAGGCTAACTCACTAAGTTAAATAAATTTATAATTTTTTTTTCTTAAAAATGTGACATATGCCACTTATATATTTATATTTTGTAAAAGAAATGTTAATTTCAATCAATTGAACCAAATGAAAACAAAATAACAAATTTAAAGTCAAAATCGAATCAATTAAAATTATAGGCACCAAAATAACATAAAGATCAAAATTCAAAACCTATTGTCGTAATTTGCCTTTAAAAAAAAAATAAATAAATAAATTTTCACACCACTTATCCGTATAATATTCTTCACCTTCAACATTCAAATTTTAACCCTAATCCTAGCCCCTTTCTCTCCTTGTCCCTTTCTCCTAGACCCTTCCTTCTCCCTCAGCTCTCCATTGCCCTTGCCTACTTCTTCTTCATATCTAAAACCCCCACCCTCCCTCTCCTTCTTCTTCTTAGCTCTAAAAATCCCTCCCCTTCTTTCTAAATCTAGCAGTTTCACAGTGGCAAGGGCTTAGAAAAGGGAGTCACAATGGTAAGGGGGCAGGGGGTTGGTAGGGCAGTAACGTGGTTGTGGCTAGGTTTTGCCGAGGGTAGCGCCCCGCAGTGATGGGAATGAGAGGGAGGGTGTTATCCTTAATGGAAAAATTTCTTTTCATCCTTTTTCTTTCAACCAAACAAGCCCAAAAAACATGAAACAGTTCAAATGGGATTATACAGGAAAACATCTCCCTTCAATTAAAAACTTGAGGATGCTCTTATAGTTGTTACACAATGTTACAATGGGTACAAACTCAACATACATTTCAGGGGTCTCATCTTTCATCCCTGTTTCTCTCTCCTCTTCCATTTTTGATGATTCTATGAATAATTTTCTTGGCAGTATGACCATCAACCCAACAAAAACAAATGAAATAACTTTTTAACTTCGGGGCTAGTGATCTTCCACCTCCCCCTGTCGACACGTGAAAGAACAAACTCAAGAAACAAAAACCAACAAAACAGAAAATAAACAAAAAACAGAACATCTCAACTATCAACAGCATTTGCTGGGGATGGCGACTGTAATGGTTGGTTCTGAGTCTGGGCTTGGGCTTGGGCTTGGGCTTGGGCCAGCTTCTGCTGCTCGACAAATCTGTTTATCCGCTCGAGTAATTGTGCAGCCTTTCTCTTCCCTCTATCCGTGCCATTTTGTGCTAAATCCACCAGTGGGACCATCACTCCGAGTTCTTGAGCCTCTATCAAATATTGCTGGTCACCCGAACAGAGGTGAACCAAAACTGCAGCAGCATTCTCTTTGTTCCTGGGGGACCCGCTTCCAATAACCTCTACCAAAATCGGCACGGCCTCTGCAGCTCCGATGGCTACTTTTCCATCAGGGTGGCTTGACAGTATTGCTAGTATGGCTAGCGCTTCATCAACCATTCCACCTTGTGGTTCTGTAAGTAACTGCATCAACGTGGGCACAACTCCGGCCCTCACCGCCCTTCCTTTGTTCCCTTGGTATATGCACAAGTTGAACAGTGCCGTTGCAGCATCTTTCTTTCCTCTTTGCGTACCTTCGCTGAGTAGTGTTACAAGTGGTGGGATTGCCCCCGTGGAACCAATCATAACCTTGTTTTCATCAATAACCGAGAGGCTAAATAATGTGGCTGCTGCATTTTCTCGTGCCTCCATGCTACCTTTCTTGAGCACAAGGACTATACCAGGCACTGCCCCGGAGGACACGATGCTTCCTTTGTTATCCTCGCATATGGAAAGGTTAAGCAGTGCCGTAACTGCGTGCTCTTGGGTGCGGGAATCGGGTGTTGAGAGGAGGCTTACGAGGAGAGGGATGGCACCAGCTTCAGCAATTGCGACACGATTATCAGCATTGCGTTTGGCAAGAAGGCGGATTTCACCCGCCGCAGATCGCTGATCTTCAGGATTACTGGATGTGAGTTTATGGAGAAGAGTTTCGATCTTGGTACGTTCAGCGGGTGAGAACGCTGATGAAATTTTGTTTCGAGAGCTGGGTTGTTTTGGTGGTTTGATCCCATTTGCCTCGCACCACTGGGCTATGAGGCTACGGAGAACGTAGTTGGGCGTGAGGGCATTGCTAGTGAGGGTTTGTTGTGTCTTCGGACAAGTACCGTGCCCTGCTCCCAGCCATTTCTCAATGCACGAACGCTCGTAAGTCTACAGCAGATAAAAAAGGGGACCTGTTAAAGAACAGTAATGCAAGGATGAAAAAGCAAGCAAATCTCGAGTCTGTGAACCCATGGAACACAAATTCATGGGTGTGAGACCCAATCATCGGAAAGGCTTTTGGAAATCAAAAGGGTAAATTACACCGTTGGTCCCTCTAGATTGAGTGAAGTTTCATTTTGGTACTCGTAGTTTCAATTTAAACAATTTAAACGCTACACTTTCAGTTTTGTTACAATGTGGTCCATCCAATGCTTGTGTTCGAATTTTGAAAGGAAAAATGCCACGTGCAAAACTAAAGGGAGGAAAGTGCAATTTAAAAGAAACTACAAGGAACCACCAGTCTAGTTTTGCATGTGGTCTTTTTCCATGGCACATGACAGAAGGATAACATTGCAAGGTTCAAATTATTTGAATTGAAACTATGGGTTAAAAGTGACGCTTAAACTACAAGGACTAATGGTGTAATTTACCCAAATGAAAATTGTTTATGATGCAACTGCCTTTCAGCTATTAAAGAGAAAGAGGTGCAGGAACACTCTACCTGCCCTGTGGAGACAATGACAGGATCCCTCATCAATTCCAGGGATATCGGACAGCGAAAATCATCTGGTATAACAAGGGATTTGGAATTCCCATCTGTGGATGGTTGTTCGCTGCAACTTGCAGGAACAGACTTTTCCCCGACGGGAGAATCCAAATCGGGACTCTCTGTCTGAACAAAATCCTTAATTTTCTTCAGTAGCGTTAACATCTTCTCCATGCCCTCCCCTGGATCTCCACCACTGGCAGAAACCATCTCATGCAGGGCTATTGATTCTTGGGTGAGGTCAGATATTTCCATCAGTTGTAATTTTTCAGCCACTCTCCTTATGACAGCTGGACCTTCAGACGCATCATTGTTGTAAAGGGACAAGAGATTCTCATGCAGCTCAACATCGGGTGAATCAACCCTTCCTTTGGCTCTTCTGAACTGAGCAAGAACAAGATCAACCTGAACATATATATAGAAGGGAATAAAATATTAAACTCCTGTACTTATGGGACTGCTCAAATATTTGATTAATTACACACAAAAGGAACAATAAAGATGTTTTTTAACCCTCTTTCAGTGCCTTACAAATTGAAGGATAATGCATCTTAGGATATTTTGTTGAAAAACTACATAAAAGTTCTTTAAAAAAATAAAAATAAATGACTAACTCTTCATGAATGCATCATATAGTCTTGTATTGCAAAAGAATAAACTTAAATAATAAGTAAACAAAAAGCATATTTTTGGGCTCCTATGTAATGATGTCTCCATCAAATGACAGCAGAATGCTTGGAGGATGAATCTCACCTGTTCCTTGACTTCATCTGATATGTCAAGTTTTTCATAAGAAATTCCACCCAGAGCTTGTTCCAAACAAGCAGTCACTTCTTGGAATCTTTTCATAATTTGATCCCTCTCTAGGACCTGCATGTAGAGTCACAAACTTGGTTTAACTCAGAGAGAGAGAGAGGAGTCCACAAAACAGAGCCATAATCTCAGATACAATCACAGGCAGTAACAGCAGAACTTGGATAATACAACGTAAAGGTATGAAAGGTTAAGAAACATAAATGTTTTATCATGATTTTAATCAGAATTTTATGTTAACAAATCTTGCTAAATGTGCCCAAAACAAAAATTGCAGCACGTTAAAAATATGCAGCACAAAGCATGACCATCAATCAGAATATATTATATGTATTACATACATGGTGTGGGTTTGAGTCACAAGAATCAGCCAATCCAAAAAAAAAACAAGAAGTGGGAATAAGGTTGTTGTCTACCGACTAACTCTCGCAGATCCCCGGCTGCAGTGTTATTAAAAGCGCGCCTAGGCGTGCGCCTAGGCCCAACTCCCATCCAGGCCCAAAGTTTGGGCCTTGTAATGTTCTAGGCCAAGCGACTTCGATAAGGCGCGCCTAAGCGTGTGCCTAGGCCCAAGGTTTGTGCCTTGTAGTGTTTCAGGCCAGACGACTGTGATAAGGCGCCTGATTGGCCAAGGTTTGTGTCTTAAGAGCTTTTTTTTAATTGTTTCTTTAATTGGTTTTGTTTAAAATCTAACCATTGATTTAATATTGTGTACCTACAGAAGATCTCTACTCTTATTACAGATGCCAATACATTGGCATTCAACCCCAAATCAATGACAGAATAAAAATTAGCCCCAATTCCTAATATCCAAAAAACACTAAATGTTTAACATTTCATTTTGTTTATGTTGAATCTTAAATTATGTACTTATATTAAATTATATATTTTTTTCAGTACCTCACTTCGGTGAAGCATGCGTCTTGCCTTGCGCCTTGAGCCTAGGCCCTAGGAGACCTTGGCGCCTTGGTGCGCCTATCACCTTTAATAACACTACCCGGCTGCAAGTGGGAGCCTTATGTACTAGTTACAACTTACAACCATTTTTGGGGGTGTTTATGTATATGTGTGTTGTATAGGATCTCAAATGCCTCTCGAGCACCTAAAAGTTAAGGAACCAAGGTTCACTTGAATAAAAGGTATACTTAGATCATAGTATGTAAATATAGTTCAATATTCCTTCTCATCATATGAATATACTGACTTTTAACTGTTTATGATTTAGTGATTCGCAGACAGAACAATCTGACTGATGTCACACTTGTAGTCTTGACCACATTTCTGAAAAATTGACAATGTGAAGCTGAATATGTGAGCACAATGGAAATGGCACCAATCTGCAAATGGGAGGCTACTGGGGACTATTGGTTGCGAAATTGCTGATTCGAAGCATAGGCAATGGGTCCACTACACATTACAGGTTCCAATTTATATAACTTTCACATTCCTTTTGAGGGTTTTGTTCGTTTTCCTTTTCTCTTTTTCTTTCTTCTTTTTTCTCGTCTTTATGTGCTGGAAAAGGAGGGAGAGGGAGGGGTAAGGGGTACCCCACTTTATCCTACCTTTGTCCCAACCCCCATTGTTTAGTCCACAAGTTAATGTCATTGTAGGAGTTGAATCCTCAAGAGTGGGAACTAAATTCTCCAAATGCTTTTCAATATTAAAACAAAAGTTCTAGTAATTAGTCTTCTCTAATGTACAAGCCACATAAATAAAATTACATATCAAGCACCATGAAGTATACATCTCTAGAGGTGGCAAAAGAAATCTAAGAGAACCTTTAAAGCTTTCTAACCTAGAAATTACTCAAGATGCTAGTTATTTGGTGTTCTTGACCAAAAAAAGGGGGGGAAAAGGTTATACACACAATGTACCCACAGAGCATAATTTTTATTCCACATTGTCCAGTACAAGTCAAGATGTGGTAAACATCAATAATAAAACAAGTTTAAAATGTACCCTAAAAAAAAAAAAAAAAAATGCGCAAACGCAAGAGCGATGACTACATCATATGCCAATTATAAATTGATCTCAAAACAAATAAATAAAAATGTTTGTCATAATAAATTGCCTCTCTCAATGATCCCTGTACCAGCAGAAATCAAGCTATTCAATGGATCATAACCGCTACTTCTTCTGATTATATCAAAGTAATGGCATTCTAGAAAAATGGTACGGCAAAATATCAGTGAATGATGTCACAATCAAAGAAACAACAAGCTCTAGATTTGTTGCACAGTTCTAGCTTCTCTAAAGACATATTTATCTTTCTGAACTACTGACTTGGCTAATTTAGTCAATCATAGGGAGTACAAAGCCTGAATATTACTGAATATCCAAAGAACTAACTACTTCGGTAATTTCAATCCTGTGTATGTAGTCCTAACTATTGTAACAGAGCTGTATATATAACTACTCTTTCTTGGATCATCATAGTGAAAGCCACAGCAACTTCATGGACATAACCTAATTTTGGGGTAAAACCGCAAATTTGTTTGTATGTGCACTTTGATCTTTCTTCTTCTATTTTGCAATTATCAATCGTGTCCAAAAAATCCTGGGTTAGGGTTTTGAATCCCAACAGTTAAATTATCTATTCATATGAACATAAATAAGCACATACACAAATTCATTTCTGCATGCATGCACGCATGCAGTCACAAATATATGTAGATCTGTAAGTGAGCAAAAACACATGTGCTAGACTATGCATGTGTAATGGGAATGGCTCAGCTCGTATCCTCAGGACTCGCCTGGCTATCTAGGGAGTCTCCTAGGCAAAACATTCTACATATTCTGCAATATAATTGTAAATAACTAAATATGACTACTTTCTAGACCAGTCACCCATTCCTTATGCTAAGTTGGAAGAATTTAGATATTTGTACTTCACTTGAAATGAATCTTGTGTTATCCTTATTTTTTAGTTCCTCTGCAGATTTTTAGACCTTTTAACCAACTTATGTAGATGTTTATGAAGTGCTAATTTATGGTTTGATAAACCCAAAAAATATACGTTTAATTTGACTAGAAGGAGAACAGAAAAGAAGAATATAACACCACAACCAAACTTAACGCACAAGGCTGGACCCCTCATATTAACCTCCATTTAGATGCAAAGCAATCTTACACAAAAGGTAGTGCAAGAATAATGAGAGAGATTCAATTAAATATCATTATCTTTTGAGAGAAACCTCAAACTTATTGCCAAATTTCCAACCTATAATTTCTAAGTCTTGTGAGAAAGGATATGATTTTCTCACATCCAACTCAATTTATTCCTACAATATTCACAAATATTGCTTACATAAGGAGTCAGATCCAAGTTATTGCAGAACTTCCAAATGTTTCAAATAATTACATATCTAAAACTTATCTTTCCTCATTTCATATCAAATGGATTAAATCCTCGCCATTACATCAATGAAATGGAGATCTCCATTCTATTAATGTTGAGCTAATACCTCATAAATTTAAAAAATGGGTGTACCAGATCTTGCCACCTAAGTTAAGTATTATAAGCCTAAACATCAACTATGTTGTTTTGACTTTCAACTGGAGCAGTTAAAATCATTTATTTAATATTTTCACAAAGCTAGACATTGGTAGGGTTCTGTGTGGGAAGTCACCTTGTGAAGCCCATGGATTTTCGTACCTTATATTCTGTAACAATAACCCCTCAAATCTTATAATACCCCATTTTCATGACTATTAACTCAAAAGGACCTTTCGGTTATCTATTCCAAACTCTTGAATGCAAATACTCAAATTATAGACTTCCATATTCTACTAGAAACATTATATATATATATCACTACTGATACCTATTAGTGTCTTAATTACAGCACAATCAAGTTTTCTAGGGCATTCAGCATCTAACCCTTTGCATCCATGCTGGGTAGCAACGTCTTTCTCTTTGCACCATGAATAACTAAGGTTAGAGATCACTAACCGAGAAAAAGAGACAAGGTTAGAGATGGATTTACCCCTCCAGCTTTCCCAGCTCGCTATCAACTCAAAAATAGCAGTAGTAATTGGGTTGAGAGAGAGAGGCGGGGTGATGTTGTTGCCTTGTAGGGAAGAAGATGAACTCCCACATGAAACCGTGAAACCTACCACTACCAACGCCATTAGTTTTGTAAAAATGCTAAATGATTTTAGTTACTCCAATTAAAAAGATGGAGTTGAATTGATAAAGCTTAACTAAGGTGGCATGGCATGGTATGGTTCTTCAACTGTATGAACTGTCAACTTAACATCCATGGAATAGAGAGGAGGATTTGAATCTAAGCACCGACTTAGACATGTGACATGATACGAACACGCAATCACATAAATTTTCAAAAAATGCAAGACATGAACGCGAGGGATACATATAAAATTATAAAGTTACATATTATTATATGTCATATTTTTTAATATTTTTCATCCAAAGATAATGAAATAATGTGACGTAACCGTAACTAATTCGGGCAGCATAATAATCATAGTTACAATTATAGTAGGCCATCCTGCAACATGACAATTACAGCTATAATCACAGTAAGAGTAGGGTATCTTACAACATAAAAATAAAAGTCCAGGATTATACATTCAAATTATTCAATTAACATTAATTCAATTAGACGTCAAGTTTATTATACACAACGGGGAAAAAAAAAATGAAAACAAAAACAAAACAAAACAAAACAAAAACAAAAAAACTAATTCTCATTTTGACTCCACTTAAACTTTACAAAATTTCATTTTGACCCAGAGTGTGTCCTCGACATGTCAGTAGTGTGTCCCCAGCATGTATGAACAAAAAATAAATATAAAAAAATTGGGACACTCCAATTTGTATGTCTGGCACGTGTCCATTATGTGTCCGGTGGTGACCATGTTCCGACACATGTCAGACATTGATACGTGGCCTTCATAGAGGTGTCCATGTTTCATAAACCTGAATCCATAACAAACCTAAGCCAACAATTTTGCGTGTCCATACCAAAATGGGTATAACATAAATGGAACCTATACAAAGACAAAAGCCTCTATGAACAAAAATCAGGGAAGCTGTTTCTAAATGGTAAAATTAGTTGTATGAGATCCTTATCTTCTTATTGTAACAAGCACCTAAAAATGCAGTTAAAACCATAAACATTGCATCAAACCATTTCGTTGGATATATGCTATAACTAGAACAAAATCCCTTTCGTATCTAAAGTGGGACGTGCATCTTTTATGAAACATACTATGTAACAATATTGCATACTGATTAGGACTAATATAAGGGAAACTGCCATAGGAAAAAACGGCTAGTCAAGTTTATAGTAAAGAAAAATCAATTAGATTTCAAAATATATACATGAACGGGACACTTATGAAACAAAAGGAAAATATACACCATCTACACAGAAAATAAATTGATTCCGAGCTGGACTGGCTGGCATATACCGGTTTCTACTTGCACCCCCAGCTCATAAATGATACTTTTTTGGCAACACTAGAGAATAGAGATTAAAAGGCCCAAAATTACTCCCGGTGATTAATACATACATACAAGATCCCAAAAAGCGAAATGAATCTTCTACGAGCTTTAATTTGGAACTACTTCCTTTTGTTTTATTCTCTGTCCAGCCTCGGAATGCCTCTTAAGCATTGGCACTTGCATAATTTCTAATAGATGAACCAAAACTTCTAACTTTTGAGCTCATGGTGGAGATTTCCAACAGTGAATACTGATCAATGGAAAATGCTATATAACTAACAAATCTTACAACCCTTTTTTACTAACTATTTGTCATGCAATAATGGAACTTTGTAAACATAATGATATAATAATAAATGTTAAATCAGTACTAAGTAAAAAAGTTGGTAAGATTTGTTAGTTTTTATAGCATTACTCCTGATTAATAACTGATCAATGGAAAATGCTATATAACTAACAAATCTTACAACCCTTTTTTACTAACTATTTGTCATGCAATAATGGAACTTTGTAAACATAATGATATAATAATAAATGTTAAATCAGTACTAAGTAAAAAAGTTGGTAAGATTTGTTAGTTTTTATAGCATTAGGCCTCGTTTGGGATGCTATCTTTTTAGCCAATTAGCCAAAAAGTTACTAAATTAGCCAATTAGCCAATTAGTCATACCAAAAAGTCAACAATTACGGCTTCTCTCTACTTTTTGCACAGCTTTTCGTAATTAGTCAAAAAGTCATCCCAAACATACACGTTTTTTTTACCTACCTTTTTAGCCAATTAGCCAAAAAGTTACTAAATTAGTCTGTTCCCAAACGAGGCCTTACTCCTGATTAATAAACCAAATGCTTAGTTTTTATTCTGCAGAAAATCAGACCATAAAGAAGTCCAACTACGATCATAAGCCCTATCACCAAGCATTGTTTGATTGCAGAAAAAAATGTAGGAAAGGAAAAGTCCTGTTCTCAAGTGACCTCAACTGAACTATCTGCTCTAGTTTTCAGTGAATTTCTCAACTTTATTTTCAAATAAATCGCAAAATACTAAGAGAAAGCGAAAAACTTAATCAGATCTAAGTCAGGGAGTATCTAAACAGATCAATCAAATGAATCGTTAAGAAAACTAAATTAATCAACGATTTGTCTTCAAAATGTAGTGCATTTAAGAGTGAAATATACACACCAGGTAAATCCTGCTTCCTTCGCTTCCGATTCTGAGCAAGTTTCTAGCTGATTCAAGAGCTTCCTTCAACGATTCAAGCGCTTTGAAGGACTCTTCAGGGACCGGCTCTTTGCAGTCCCGAATCTCTTCAAACATTGGAGTCAATAGCTTCAACCTCCTCGCCAGATTGCAATACTGCTTCTTCACCGTACACCTGTAGTCTGAGATTGTCGATATTTCGTTAACGATGTCAATTAGCTTCTGCACCAGAGCTCCTTTCTCGTCTTCCATGGCTTCTTCTTCAGCTTTGTTGAGATCTACAAAAGTTTCGCCGATAAATCTGGAGTTCCACTGAATTTGGCGGAGTTTCTGCTAGACTCGACGGTGGTTGATTGAGCGGCGGCGGCCGGAGAACCACGTCGAAGTCGTCTCCATGAGAGAGAGAGAGAGATTCACGAGCACATGGACACAGAGAGAGAGAAGTTCTCTTTTTGTGGCGCGGCTAATTAGGGAAGAAGGAGCTTAACCAGGGTTAAGATTTAACCAGAGGTTTTGGAGGTTGGCTTGGCCTTTAGCTGGAAGAGACGTGAGAAGGGCGAATTGCGAAAAAGCAGATGATATGTTTGTGTGTCATCGGCGCGGCTCGGAACAAATTGGCTCGGCTTGATCAGCGGGATTAATTGCCGGACGTTGGGCCGTTTGGTTTCAGTTTGAGGTACCACCTCCGGCGATTTGCTGTGCATTTGTGGTAATTTTCCCCAATGAAAAATACTAGGAACAGCCTTACAGATTTTAAGGGGTGATTTGGGATGATCTAAATAAGTGTATTTTTTGTCTTTTAATAAAAAAATATGTAGAAAAATAGAAAGGTGATGTGATAGAAAAAAGATAAAAAGATAAATTATTTTGTAGTAGCTAAACTTGGCCTAAATTTATCCCGAATATATTTGTGTGTTATAAATTAATATTGATAAAGTGTGAGATCTATGAGAGTGTTTGGTGGGATTTTTTTTAGCCACTTATGGCTTCTAACTTTTAAAAAGTTATTTTGGACTAATTAGTTGAATTTATTTCAAACAGTTTCTGATTCTAACAACTTATGTTAAGTCAAAAAAATTGATTCTGAGAAGCTGCTCACCCCTTACTTCTAATTATTAGCTTCTGCTGTGGACATGTTAATTCACGGTTATACTCTTAGATTTTTTTATTTTTTATTTTTTTAAAAATAGAAAAAGACACAAATAGACTATAAAATATTATTATTATTTTTTATGAGAAATGTAGATAAATAGTGAATAATAAAAAATAAAAGTTAATTGAAAAAGTTACTTTACAGCTTATTTAACAAACACTACTCAGCAACTTAAATCTATAATCTAACAGTTATACCAAACAGATTAACAGATTCTGATTAAAGTCAAAATCTATAATCTGTTAAGTTATAATTTATAATCTATTTTAACAGCTACACCAAACAGGACCTATATACAAAATGAATTTGAATAATTGATTTTTTTTATATATATATAGATAAGGGTGGATTTATAATATTGTTATTTCCTCAATAATCAAAAAGCTAAAATAGTTAGGCTTCGTTTGATAAGAGCTAAAGTGACTAATAAACACAAAAAGATAAAATAGACTAATTTAATTAATAAGATAAAATATTACATCTAAATCACAATCGTCTTATTTTTTCTCTCATAACATCCAAATAAAAAAAAATAAAAAATCAGACTAAATTAGCTCTTCTCAAACCAAGGTTTAGGCTTGTTTTGGGGTATGATTTATTTTTTACTTCGTTTATTACGAAAAGATGTAATAAAATAAATAAATAAAAAAAATAAAAAAAAAGGTAAAGTAAAGAGTTGATGCAATTAAAATAAGTCAATAAAATAGATCTCAATCATGTTATTATCTCTGCTTTTTTTAACTAAAATATTTTGTTCTTAAATTTTTTTTTTCTTTAATTTTTTATTTCTAAAATCTTTATTTATTATACTGTGAAGGCATTGAGTCACTCCTCATAAAGTGGATATTTGGGAAATTGCTATTTTAATAAGTCATTTTAATAGGTTAAAATTTTTGTATTTGAGATGATAGTTAGATTTTTTTATAGTTGAATGTAATGTTTGAGAGCAAAATTGTGAAATAATTATGGGTTTGATGTGACATTTTGTCTTATTGACTATTTTAACATATTTTATCTTTTTGTAAATTTTAATCCAAAAAACTAAAAAATACCCTTTGCCAAACACCCGATGATAAATTAAAACAAGATCGGGTTTCTTTCCAATCCTTAATTAGATAGGTAAGGTGTTGTTCATCCTATATTGGACCCTATTTTGATAATTCCAATCATACTTGTAATAATTCAAGTCAATCGAATAGCGGCAATCATATGTTCAGATCAGTTTTATATAAAATGTTCAAATCAATTTTGTATAAAAAAATTTCATACAAAATTGATCTGAACACGTGGTTGTCATTATCTGATCTACTTAAATTATTGAAAAGATGATGTACTCATTATAAATTTTAAAATATGAATAATTTAAATTATTAAAACAAAATTCAAAAATAGGTCATATAGGCTAAACAATACCTCATCAGGCCAATTAACAAAATGTAGTTGAGGGAATGATTTGAAACTAGCAACATAGTTCTTGGACCAAAACACTGTTAAGGACCAAAAGTTAGACTGCTAGCCTTAATAATTAGTTACATGTGTTGTTTTGTACCCAAAACGACGTCGTTTTGGCCATTTGAGCCACATTTGAGCCACAGAATTAGGGCCCCCAAACATTTTTCCTAAACAATACCTCATCAGGCCAATTAACAAAATGTAATTGAGGGAATGATTTGAAACTAGCAACATAGTTCTTGGACCAAAACACTGTTAAGGACCAAAAGTTAGACTGCTAGCCTTAATAATTAGTTACATGTGCACTATTAACAAATATTAGTTACATGTGCACTATTAACAAATATGATTACTAAATTTTTTGTTGATGAAATTAAAATTACATGGCACTATTAACAAATATGATTATTAAATTTTTTGTTGATGAAATTAAAATTAAACAAACTGGCATACAAAAAGCAATAAGAGAAAGTGTTACACTACAAAAAAAAAAAAAAAAAAAAATTTTTTTTTGGCTCAGAAATGCAATTTAAATAAAAAAATAACGCCGTTTAACTCTTTTTTTTTTTTTTTTTTTTTTTTTTGCGAAAGGTGTGTCATTATATTTTTAATAATGAAAATTGAAAATTAGTGATGAATTATTATCTTTTTGGGACCAAATTTTGTCTAAAAAAAAATAATTTTAAGACCAAATTATTTTGTCCCTAAAAGTCTATTTATTAGTGACATTTTTAAAATTTTGTCTCTAAAAGACTTGTTTTTTTACTTTTCAGAACGATCTTTTAATGACTATCATCATGACGATAAAAATTAGTTCTTAAATGTCTTTTTCATTTTTAAAGATCACAAAATTTGATTTTTAAAACTTTTATATGTTGTAGCATTATGTGATGAAAGGTGCACTCACGTGGTTGATGATAATTGGCTCAGAATTTGTATTAAACACTTAATAAATATTAAAGATCAAATAGATTTAAATCATTTACCTCTTAATGAGATGTAAAAATTCTAGTTAATCGAGCCAGTCTTGTTAATTGAATAAAGAGGTTAAATAATTAATAAAATAAAATAAGAAGAGCATAGTGCATTTAACCTTACTTTCCCTATTAAGAAACAAAATTAAATAAATAAACATTACCATTTTATGTAAAGTTTTTATGAAAAATCTCATTGCAACAATGGGCCACCTAATTCTTTCAATTCTAAATTCCTTGGTAGTTTTCCACCTTGTCTTGAGTCCTTCATTAAGACATACAATCAAATACTAATTGAAAGGGGAATTTAGTCTGGCTTGGTGAGCCAAGCAATTTTTGGCCTAGGCTGAGGTTTTAGCTCAGGTGAAATAAGGTTGTGTGCTCTGGACCGAGGTACTAGCACGATTGAAGTAGAGATGTGTGACTAACCGAGGTCTTAGATCGCGCAATTGGGCTAGCCTGAGGTCTGGGGGATGGACCAGGCTGGTTGTTAGGTTCATGACTTGAGCCAAGCTAGTCCACGGTCATACCAAGGTCAAGCAGTGAACACCTTGACAGATAAGTGAAGCTTGAATGAGCTAAGTGTAGGCAACTGAGCTGGTACACAACCTCGGTCATTAGAGATAACCAAGATTGGGGCTAGAGAAGACCGGGATGTGCTCAGCTCGATAGGAATTGCTACGTGGCCTAATCAAAGCTCAGGAAGGAGATTTCGTCATCTGTACAAGTCAATACCGTTAGGCAGTTTGCCACTTAGTGTTTGGCAATACTAGCACTTGCATATGGAAGACGACATGGGGGAGCATGTCCACGCGTCCAAGGAAGGACGGGTAAAGAAGTGCACGCATAAACTATATAAACGGCACAGAGCCTTCATGCACAGGTCTGGAACCCTTACACACTGAGACCTTCTGGTTATCAAAGCTCTATCCCTTTTATTTTCTCTCTCTAAAACTGTGCTAGCTTGACCGTCAAAGGAGTATTCTGGCCACCACCCGCTAGGTAACTAACCGTCGTTTTGTTCTTAAGTTGAGCGACGTTATTTAAAGCTTGGACACGAGGAGTACGGAAAGCGACGTATATTTTCTCCCCTTACAATTGGCGTCATTTGTGGAAAGCTTTGACAGATAAAACTTTGTCCTCCAAGTTTTTCTAGTCATTTTTCATGGTAAACAACGATGACGTTCCGAAGTCCGTTGTCGACAGCATTACTTATGAGTCAGTTCGACGTCGCGATGACTTGTCTACTATTCCACGATGGCCGGATTGGAGACTGCGAAGGGGCCTCCCAGAGACGCACGAGACAAAAGCGCAAGGAGTTCTAGGCACTCATTGAGCCCAGATCTAGGCCGCCGACGGCAAGAAACGTACATTCAGCATCTGAAAAACAAGTTGAGAGACCAAGATGCCCTCATTAGGAAGATGACTACAAAGATAGAGGCCATGAAACGCCAACTGAACGGAAAGGGCGTTGCTGGAATGGTAAACCACAGTGAGCGCGCCCGATCTCATCACTCTAGCAGTCAAAGTAGGCGGCAACCTCCTTCATTCTCCATTATAAGAAACTTCAGAATAGACGACTCCGTCACACTTGCAGGGGTGTCTTGCACTCAAGACAGCAGCTACTACCCTTTAAGACCGTAAACAATGTTGAAATACTCATACTCCGATCGGTCCGGCGATCTGTGAGGTGTGTTAAAGGAACGAGCGCATCGGTGAGAGGCGCAGAAAGTGTCGGTGCTGCAACGGTTGGCACATATGGAGCACATCAGTGAAAAGGTTGTCATGCCTGCACCCCGCCAGCCAGTGCACGCGCCACCAGACAGAGAGTTGGCGAGGCTGAGCGCCACCT